ACCCCCTCTACAAACACACATACAAACACATTTATTCAGAAATTACCATTTTATTGTATAAGTAAACATGATATGTTCAAATGAATGGAAACATTTTTGTTCTAAGTAAGTCTAATTCAGAGATTTCAGCCTAGAGCAAAAGGATCCTCACTTCTATATCTCTAAGGCCAATTCGCAAACTAGGGCATACACATGAATTCGTTTGACTGACATATGAGCCTGTTAGATTTAAAGGAACACACACCAATTCATTCATAATTAGCAGGGTAGCTTTAAGGACAGAATCCCCACTTCATATTATCCAAACAGAATTAGAAACTGGTCACTTCTCAGGAGACTATCTTCAGTGTTTACTAAAATATCCTAAAACCATTCTCTTTTTTCACATGAGGGGATGAAGAGATAATATATGATGAAGTTTGAAGTAATAACTACCAATTCTGAACCTATACAATATTTTAGACCATAGACATTTCTAAACCTCTCCTTATAAAAAACTCTGTCTTTTTTAACTTCAAAATATAGACATTATTTCAGAATAACTTTGTAAGATTTTAGTTAAGAATCTTATTTGTCGTAAGTTTTATAAATCTTTGGATTTAAAAAAAATTTATACCAGAGTTTACTCAATCAGACTTTGCATAAATATATTACACTATCCTAAAAACAATATCAAATCACAAGACATTTAACTGACAGAGTTCATTTTATCTTTCCATATGAGAATGAAAGAAATTTGCATGAAAGATCTCCGACACAATCTTCAGCTCTCCCTGTGGTTTGCTAATATGTTTGCAAATGGCATTGTACCTGCTTTTATATAAACATCTTTGATGCCTAGAGCATTGTCAGAGAAATAGCTGTGTAACAAATAGCTCAAATGAATATAATGAGATATGCTCCACGATTGAGCACCTGACACAGTAGCCAGCTATTTCTCAGATGAGAAATCCCTCTTCATGATCAACGTGCCTTCCAAACTTGGCCAGTCTGACATGCCCTTTGGCCATCTGTCTCCTCTGGATGATTGGTTGGATTTCTCACACAACTCAATGAGTACCTGTGCTTATGAAGAAGTTTGTCTTTTCCATCTCCTGATCTAGTCACACTGTGAGGGAAAGTTTGAACATCTGACCCTAAAAATCTCAATTTTCCCTCATACATGCATGAATGAGTAGGTTAACTCATGAATTCAAGAAATATTTTTTGATTATTGGTTTAATATAAACTGTTTGATTTTAAAATTTTTTTACAAACACAGTTTTGTGTTTTCATGCACCTTCAAATTCCTGTCCTAATTATATCAGTTAACTTTATTTTTTTAATTGATACTGTATTCCAGAGCAGTACTTATTGTTGAAATTTCCATTGTACCAATCCCAGACACATCATTAAGAAAAATTCATGAATATCATTAAGGAAAAGTCCTTTAGAATGCTGACAGTTTTATGAACATTAGGTTCGGCATGGCTTACTCAATAGGATAATTATTCCTTAAAATTCTTAAATCAACTCAGAAAAACATCACTTTTGGACTATGGCATCACTTAGCACAGCTTATCTGCTTTGGCTGGTACTCAGTTTACATATCTCCTCCCCTGGGAAGCTGACTCTGAGCCCATTTAATTGCTCTCTCTCTTTCTTTCTTTCTTTCCTTCTTTCTCTCTCTCTCTCTCTCTCTCTCGGTTTCTCTGTCTCTCTCTTTCTTTCTTTCTTTCATTCCTCCTTCCTTCCCCCCTCTCTGCCTTCCTTTATTGTATCTTGCCTAAGTCATTTTAATAGCACTTATTGCATCACTTCAATTATGTGTAGCTTTCTCTCTTTTAGGTCTCAGAGCCCTTGGGTATTAAGGTATTTAAATTATATATCTGCATCTTCAATATCTTATACATCTGGCATACAGTAAGTGTGATAAGTAAGTTTTGATTAAATAATAATAGGATTATTGAAGCATATGATGTGGAGTTCCCTGCTATAAACAGGAATTTGTTAAACTGTATGATGTATTCAAGTTTTGAGTCAGACCAATAAGGGTGCTTATAGATTTGGCCATTGGGAATACAAAGATGTGGGGAAAAGACATATGTGCTTCAGATCATCACCTTGTGACGCATTTTCTAACTCAAGGAAAGGTAAAATTAACCCAAAGCAAGAATGATGAAAGTTGAAAAGAAAGGTATTCTAGAACTCATTAAAACAGAACTGGCACTAATTACTTTAGCCACACCAATATACTTACATGATTAAGTTTATGGAGACTATGCCTACATTTCTGTTTCCCATCTGAATTTGTACCTAAAGATGCTATATTACTGGGATGATATTACCTTCAATGGAAAGAATTTTACCCATATGGATTCTAAAATCACAAGTTAAATCTCAAAATATTTGTTCCCAAAGCAACAAACAGTATTTCACATATTCATTTAGAGCAACCTGGGGCGATGAAAGTGTCTAGAATTAGTGAGGTCAGTGAAAACAATGTATCCACTAACCTATTCACCATTTCAAACAATCCTTCATTAGTTGCCATTATCTATACACATGCTACAGACTCCCTCTAACTCTGACTTGTTGCCCAATCCCTTCCCTCCAAGGCAATCTCTCCTGCTGGAGTTAAATATTCAGACACGGAGAACTCACTCCCTGTGAGGCTTTACAGCTATGATTTGATTCTAACTTTTGCAGGACTCACTGTAACCTTAGTCTTGAGATTCAAATAGATGAACTACATAATAACAAACTATTTTTCATCTACCAGTAACTAAATTATTTTAAATGTTTTAACACAGACCTTTTAATACATACCAGTTACACTATAAGGTACTAGTGTCACTGGAGGTCCTCAGGGAAAGCCCAATAGCATGGTGACTGGTCCATTTCTTCAACAGTGATAAACAATTTCTGTTTACTATAACCATGGCCATACTACTTGTGGGGTCTGAAGCTACCCCAGCCCCACCCACCAGCCATGAGGTGTTGCCTGTATCTGCAATCATTCTACTATATAACTTCTGGAGCCTATAGTCTTAAAGGCTGCAATCACCAGAGTCTATTGGGGCAAATTTCTCTATCCAGTAGGCCCAGTACCCACTATCCTGAAAATGACTGTTGATGCTCAGGCCTCCATGCTGCTAATCCCCACCATCATCAGTAAGTGAGGAAAGTACAAACCATGTGTCCTTCTTGACAAACAATTTATGCTCTACTGTGTGACCATGCCCATAATTTTCTATGATTTCTGGCCCATATAACTACAACCTCCTCTCCATGCCAACAACTTGTTTGTGTACTCCCATGATGACTACTCATTGATTCCACTCAGATAGTCATCCTTTCTTCACTTCCTTCTACATCTACTTTACATTTCATGATGCTTCATTTAAATATTACCCTGAATTTCATTGCCCTTATGAGTTATCATCACATCTATCTAGCAAAACCCCAAACTTGCAGGAATTGAGCTGTCTGCTTTTTCTATGATCTAATACCCAGATAATAGAGCAATAATACATAATATCACACAACAAGGAAGGTCAATTCCAGCATAAATATGCAATTGCTAATCTCTAATTAACCTTCAAAACTTCCAGCAATACAACTACAAACTGGATATCTTCTCTCGGATATAACAAAGGCACCCAGAACGCAACATTTTCAAACCTAATCTAGTAAACATCTGCCACAAATCTGTTCCTCTTCCAGTATTCTTTTTCAGCAAGTAGGCCCACCTTTTATCTAAATATGCAGACTATAAACCGTGTAGTCATTCTTGATAGTCTCCCTTTTCTGACCTTCAACATCAGTTCCTCTCAAATACTTGTAGATATCATGTCCTAACTATCTATCATTGTTTTCCCATATCTTCCACTATCACACTAGTCCAAGCTAATATCATCTTGCCTGGAATAGGTCTTAGGAAACTTGCAATTTTATATTTATTAGTTTTACAACCTGACATCCTCTGTAAGTTTACTAGACTATAAGCTCCATCGAACCAGGGTTTTTTTTGTCTATTTTTTCTCACTATTTTATCTCTAGCAAAATATATCTTGCATTTTTTCTTTGTTTATAGTGAGCACTTGATAAAAATTTGCTGAGTGAATGGATAAATAAATACAAGTAAATTTATAAGTATTATCATAATAAACATTTGCATGTATGAAGCAGGTATCCATATTCATATCATATAAGAGAAAAATCTGAAGTTCAACAAAAGCTGAATAAGCAGAGAATTATGAATTTTGATTCAAATTTAGGTCTTCTCAATTTCACTAACTTTAACTCCTATCTTTCCATTTTAGCCTCATGATGTATATCAACCTTAAGGAACGCTTTTTTTTTTCATTTTACTTTTAACATAGAGTCAGAAAAGTATGGCCAGTTCTTAAGGTAATTATCTATGAGTATAGAAAATAATTCCCACGGAAGGCATTCTAATGCTTTTAAAAACATGCCATTCACTGCAAATACTTTCAAAAGAAATATTTTAATTTTGTTTATACAGCCATACTCCAAATTAAGATTGATACCAAAATGTATGCAAAGCAGTCATCATGCAAATGGAAAAGGAATTAGAGCAGAAAATAACAAAAACGGACATTTTTTAACCATCATCAATTTTCTGTCATTTATTGAGTGTTTGTCATCTTGTAGACTTTGTGCTAAACAATTTATCTATGCAGTAAAATAGGAACTATTATTATCCCTATTTTACAGGTAAGAAAATTAAGAATTAGAACAAACAATCAAAGCGATGAGCCAAATCCAACCTCTGTGATTCCAGAGCTGCACTTAACATTCAGTTGCCTTCTCAGTAAGCAGTTAAGTCTTTCATTCTGAGCCATCCTTAGTGAAAAATCGACAAAAACAGTTTTAACTACTAATAGCATCTGATAATGAGACATTTCAACTACAATCAGATGGGGGAGGAGAATACTATATACATTATCAAACATAGCTTTTTCAGGATATTTATGGAGGAAATTGTTTAGTCTTACCCATGAATTCAATCCCCAAGTGGTCTGCTGCACGGAAGTCAGCGTGTAAGGAAGGGAAACAGAGAAAGAGAAAAAGATTAGAGACAGTTCCACATGGACATCAATGCTTATAAGATTGATCTTTCCAGGCAAAGAATGTGTCTCAATTTTAACCACCATGTTTGCTTGAGAGAGAAAATTTACAGATTACAGCAATAGGGGTGCTCTGAACACTAACGGGTATTTCCCAAAAGCCTGGAACTTTACATGGAATAATATTTCATCAATTACCAAGCATGCTAAGTATAAATTTAGCCAAAAAAACAAAAACAAAAACCTGTTTAGACAAAGCATATTTGGTACTAAAGTTATCTTCAGAACTCATGATATTTTACGTAGAATAACTACTTGTTCAACATAAACTTATCTGGAGCTCTATGTTAAGAACAAGTAAGGAAAGAACTTCCGCATAACAGGACTTACACAGGTGCTCTTTTCTTTGACAAAAAAAGCAATGATGTTGATTTTTTTTCTTTTATTTGTTAGATGAGAAAACTGTGCTTCAGCAAGATCAAAAATTTTACATAGGCCCTAAAAGATGAGGCAGATCCAGGGCACAAAACCAGTCTATCTGACCCCTAAGTTCTATGACTATTAAACTTGACCATGCTTCCTGTCAAAAACCAGTGACAGACGTGTCCATGTCTGTTCCTTGTGCATTTGCACAGCCGACCGTTCTGACTCGCTAATGTCTGTTTGTGGTCAGCAGAGTGATAAACTGGGCCCAGCTATGCCCAGGCATCAACCTAAGGGGTTTGTTTATTTAAGTGGTGCTTTCTTCTAATCACTCAGTTATTCACTCATCCACTTTTAAAATTCATTTCATTATTTAGTGATAGTTTCTGTTGTAGTAAAACATTTCTTAAATGAAAATAAATGAAAAAAAAAGCTTTGCTACAATTGTATTTGTTTCCAAGACTAATTGTTGAGCTTCCTTTTACCACTTCTTTATTTAGCAAAGAAGATTTTCTTTTTAGAAAATAGGTATTTGGTTATCTTGAATATTTCAGTGCCTTTCCTATTTGTAAATAATTCATTTTAAAATTTGATTATGGAAAAATATATACAACATAAAATTTGTCATTAACTTTGTAAGTGTACAGTTCAGTGGCATTAATTACATTTGCAACGATGTGCAACCATCGGCACTACATTTCCAAAACTTTTCCATCACCTCAAAGAGAAACTGCACCCACTAAGCAATAATTTCCCATTTTCCTCTCTCCCCCAGCACCTGGTAACCTCTAATCTACTTTCCGTCTCTACGAACTTGACCGTAAATAGTTCATCTGTTAAGTGATTAGGACCTATTTTAATTGAGAAATGTGTCTTATATAGAGAAAGAAGGTAACAGTGTTTTAAAAAGTAGATGCATTCCTTTATTTACATGGCATTTTTGACTGCTTAATATATACTATGATAGATATCTAGCACACTTTCATGAAAAGACAGGGTTTTTGTTCTCAAGTAATTCAGAAATCAATGGGAACTCATGGAGAAAAAGGTCTGGTAACTATTTGTAATAGTGCTGTAATGGAAAACCAGAAAAATGTGCATTGGTTGGAGGGGCCAAGTACTCATAAGATTGCTCCTGGGAGGGAGAGAATGTGCTATGTGAAAGAATGGGGATTATAGAAAAGTTGGCAAGACCACGTTTCAGTTCTTGAAGCTTCGTGATTGTGTATACTTAAGACTTATTAGGATTGTGTACACTTATTTAAAAACAGGGCTTTGGGTAAAAGGTAAGACTAAAGGTAAGAAAAGAAAAGATTAGGAATAAAAACCTTTTGCAGACTGCCAGACTAGAAGGTGCAGGAAAGAAAACAGGAGAAGAATGTGCATAGAAATATGGGAACAGAGCACCTCAAATAGTGGACCACAGATGTTCAGTGATATGACTGGGTAGTTGGAAAGCCATTAGTCACAGTCTCATTGGACAAGAACTTTCTGGTGGAGCTGAGGTGGCTCAGAATTGCCTGGGTGTCTGAAGTCTGTTTTGCTGTATAACCAATGGTCACTATTCATTCTTCCCACAGCCTTGGTGGCTCCACCTCTATATGTGATCAGCAATGTAGAGAATCAGGCTGTGTGAGTCTGGAGATTGCACTAGGTGAGTACCATGTTTACTAAATTTGAGGCCAATTTGAATCCTTTAAACTACAATGAATTCATGACCAGTAGAAGAGATAGAAATCATAATTCGAAAATTATCCAAACACTGAAAAGTGTAAGTAGAAATCTTCAGAAAAAGGAACTCTGTCTTCTCTGAACACAGCAGAAAATTTACATATAATTAATAGAGTTATAATTCTCAGAAATACTACCAAGCAAGGTGGCATTCATTGGGAAATTATTAATTTTAATAATGACGCTCATGAAAACTGACACCACTGAAATATACAAATAAAAAGTTAGATTATTTAAAATCTCTCCTTCACGTGCATGCACACACACACATATTCTTCCTTTCTTTTATTAAAATGCTAAACACTGTGATCGTTATTGCAGGTCTAAAGATACTGATAGACTGTTTCATACAAAAGGATCAATGAAAATCTATGAATAGCACAATAGAAAAGCAATTAATTTTGTTAACTAAGTCATACACAGAACATAAACCACAATATCTCTCATAACCCTTCATTGGCTATTTCTTAAAGCAAACAGCCTTCCTGGGAATATTCAGGCTTGCATGAAAACATCAAGAGGAGTGTGATGAGAATTAGCTAATTAATCATTCATTTCCTGATTCACTCACCAGACTGCGTGCCGAGAGCTGCACAGACACCGGGGTGGAAGAAGAGGCCCATTCTAGGCAGGAACAGCTGGATTTCCCTACGGCATGTATTAGAATGTATAATTTCCAACTCTTTAGCAATTTGATTAACTTTTATATGTAAAAATTGCAATTCTTTTGGAACGTTCTCACCTTTTGATCCTACAACAGTGGCTAACATTCACTGGGCACTTACTGTGTGCCAGGGACTGTTTTAAGCATGATCTCGAAGAAACTTAGAAGGTCGTCATTATCCTCATTCCACAGATGAGGAACAGAGGCCCAGAGGGGTGAACAAACTTTCTCCAAACCACATTGGTGGTAGGTGGTGGAGACGTGATGGAGCCTAAGCGGCTTGACTCAGCCCCCAGTTATACTCAGGATTTCCATATGCCCTTCCTGTGAAGAAAAGCTAAGTTTTACAAAGTTACCAGCTAATGAGATGTACAGGGAGGAGTTACATAATCCACTTAAGAGAACAAATTGTTCTCAAGTATCCGCAGGCTCTGTGGAAGCACCACTTACTGACCTGCCCATCCCTCCTTTATTGATGACGTGCCGAAGACAAGCTAGGGGGAGGGGGTTCACTCTCTCCAAGGAACCAAACTGGCAAATCATTAATATTTCTTCATTGGTCACTAGGGAGATTTCTTCATGACGAGGCTGGCCCAACTGAAGTTATTGCTTGTACATACAGCAAGGGATCTATAAAGGGGTGTCTCTGAATATGTGTCAAATGTTGAACCAAATAATCCTAAAATTGGCAGTATGATTAACAAATGCCAGCAGCTCTGCTGCAGACCTGAAACATTCTTAAGATTTGAGGGCTAGGTAGGTGACTGGAGAGACGAACTTAATATTCCATAAAGTCAAAAATGCCTAGAAATTCAAGGCCCCCATGTTTCCCAAGTGTCCACGCTTCCTTGTGTATGAGCAATTCAAAGGCTCTTGTTTATATGTTGACAGACAAACAGGGCTACCAACAGTTCTCTCAATGTGGGCAGGGTGAGGGAGCTCAAGCAAGAACAATCCTTGACTTGGTTCTAATCTCAGAGTGAGATGAGACAAGCTGTTATCGAACCTGTGATGAGGAACTCACTGCCATGCAGCACGGGGACAATGCAACCTGAATGTGGGCTTCAGTGTCATTCCTGTGTCAAAAGTAACCAAACAAGGCAATTCTATCATAGAACGTTCCAAAATGTGATGATTTAAACCCTTGTTTCATGGCATGTGGGAAAACACGTTACATAATAATATTATTCCGTGTTTTTAAAAGTTAGAATACTAGCTTCAAGTTCAACAGGCTTCCCCACCGCAAGAATCCCTACAGGCCTTCCTGTGTGCTGAGACGCTCCTGGCGGGGTTCAGGAGGCAGTATATCCCAACTTGATGTCAACAACCACCTGCCATGAGGCACCGTGTGAACTAGTGATGGATGGTACCCACTCTGTGGAGGAAACCAGCTGCTCTGCTATAAAGCTTGTCAGTCATAAATGATGTATCTTAAAAACTCAACTGAAATTTGTCACTCTGTAGATTCCACCCACAGATCCTTGTCAAATGACTTTTCATTGGTGACACTTGAGGAAGAGAAGGTCCGTCTCAACTGAGAAGACTAAATGGGATTTATGAAGACGGTAGGCTGGGTCTTCAATGTTTGCTGATCCTTAACACCTCAGGTTATCATTCTCTAGGAGTTTCTAGAATCGTTGGGAAGGGATGTAATTGTATCACGGTTCAACAGTGGGTCCGTGTATTCTGCTTACTCCCAGATAAGATCATGGACAAGGTGATGAGACGTCACAGGTCAGGACATTGTCATGCATGTCGCAGTTGATTATAACAAGGCAAGCAAACTAGGAAAGGCTGGGAAAGACTCTAAGGTTCCTGATAAGGAGGAGAGCAAGGGCCGAGGGTGGACCTGGCTGTAATTGCTGAAGGCAGCTTCAGTCTGGAAGCAATACACGGAGCCACAGAATATATACTTTTCAAAAAGGTTAAGGGATCAAAGGATGGGGGACTAGGGTTCACCACAGGCTACCGGAGCATATAACTGTGTCATTAGGGGTAAGTGACACTTGGCAGTCACTAACAGAATGTGGCAACTGGGAGCAGAGTAGCAGCAAGACCTGAACCTCTCAGGCTGTAGGTCCCACAACAGGGAGGGAAGGAGAGCTGGCAAGGGTGTGGGCCCACTCCTGGAGGG